TCTTGCGCACATTGGTGCGGAACTTCCTATGCTCCAGCTTCTGGCCATTTCCCCTTGTCCTGTCTCCGCACACTGCTGAAAAGAGTCTGGCCTCGCCACTTTGCCCCATAACACTTTTTCTCTGTCACTCCTTCACCCTGACGCACTTCCCTTGCTCCAGCAGCAGGTCCCTCCCATGGGATATACTCCTTCCAAACAGATCCATGGGCTCCTCCATGGCTGCACATTGGGATCTGCTCTGCGTGGTGCCCATGGGCTGCAGGGAAACAGCCTGATCTATCATGGGCCTCTTCTGGGCTTCAGGGAACTTCTGCTCGGTGCCTGGAGTACCTCCTGCCATCTGCACTGACCTTGGTGCCTGCAGGACTGTTTCTCCCACATTTTCTCACTCCTGTGTTTCAGCTGCTCCCATACAGCATTTTTTCCCCTTTCTTAAATATTTTATTCTAGAGGCACAGTCAGCATTGGTCATGACTCAGCTCTGCCCAGAAGCAGGTCCATTTTGGAACTGTGTGGAATTGGCTCTAATCTGATACATCTTCTGGATTCTTCTCCCAGAAGCCACCCCTGCAGCCCCTGGAATACTCAAATCTGATTACATAAAACCAGTACAGTTCAGTGTTTGAGAGATGTTTTTAAGACCTTAAGAGATTGAACATCAAGACTTGATAGAAATTTCCTCAAGTGATTTGAGTATTAACCATTCTATTTCTGAATTTGGTTAAGTTCCCTGAATAAATCTAGTAGTGAAAAAGTGAATTCACAGATCAGTGACACATTTTGTCACCAACCTATTAGCCAGCATGTACCTGCTGGTGATATACCAGGCATAGCTTAATCATCCTAGACAAGTTCTGGACTTAAATCTGCAACTTTCATTACTGAGCTCTCAGCCATTAGCATGACTGCAGATAGGAAAGCTGAAGCTCCACTGTTAAGACTTCTCTCTTTGTAGCACAACAACATGTTCATTAAGGTGAAAATTTAGATGTTTTAGTACAAGATCAATTTTCACATTCTGGTTAAGCATTCACCTGGAAGTTAAAATAAACTGAATTCTTATTAATGAACATGTATCAAAATAAAAACAGAAAAGAAAAAAGAAAGTGTGCAAACACACTTGTTCTATTTTTAATTTTATTTTTGTTTTTTCTTTGAAAAAAAAAGACTCCAAAACATAAATTAGTAAGATGATTGTTAAAAGAATATTGTGTTCTGCCTATTTATTTTTAGAGTTAATACTCAATTCCTACATCTTCATTTCTGCTCCTTTATTTTCTTTTTAAAAATATTCAAGTTGAAAGTAAATGCATTTTTTAAAACTGCAAAATACACCTAAATCTTTTATATAAATACATCTATACATAAATAAGCTACTTCTCTGTGTGTACATAGAAGCTTTTGTCATCAAAATAAAATATGAAAACAGTTGATTTTGTTTATATTGCATCAACTCTTCTGTAATTTTTAATGTGCAGCACTCAAAAACAGAAAATAAATTACCTTCCCAGACTTAATCATAACAAAAACATCTCACTCTGAATAAGTTTCCATCTTCTTTAAGTTTGTTCTTTTATTTTTCTGTTCAAATCCAAACTGAATTCCCAGTTAGGTATAATTTGGATGAAAATTGTGTTCACATGGTCCTCAAAATGACCTGAAGGGTTCAGAGAATTGTCAGAGAATTGGTACAAAGCTTCACTGAAAGTCTAGTTATGTATTTTTTCGCAGTAGTATCCTGTAACATCAGTTGAGCTATTGTGAAGAATTTTTTTCTCCTTCCATGTATCTTGGTAAGAATTCTTTTTCTCCTGTTGTACCCACTGATTGGTAAATATACAGTAAAAAATAAAATTCAGCAGCTCCTTATCTAACATCACAGGTTCATTGCAGACCGCAGTATACAGTGATTTGCAAAAACTGATCTTCTAGCATTTGATGTTACTTATACAATAAAATAAAATATATTACATGAAGATTTGTAAATGTTTGTTTACTGTAGACTACTAGCTCCCTAGTTAGTCATGCTGAAACTCTAAGAATGTCATCAGTGCCATTTAGGCTCATTTAGGACTCTCTCAAATTCCTGTATTATAACACTGTGTTGTACTAGTGAACTATGTGCACTAGTCTGCAGATGAATATTATTTTGTTTCATCAACTCTAATACCTCAGAGAGTAACAGCAAGCAGAATCTCTTTTACCAGAATTCAGTGTTTAGGAGTCAATTAATTTGTCATCCCTTTAAGGTTTCCAGATCTGATGTAGCACCTAAATGTACACATAACTTTTGGCACTGACACCTGGAAGCTCTATGGGGCATCTTCTGATTTGCTGAGAGCAGTACAAACCTATGATTAGGCAACTCCATCAAGTTGCTAGGAATAGATGCAGACATACAACCGAGTAGCCCTTAAGTAGTGTGAAATAGATATCATTCAGCTAACCTGTTTTGTGCTCCTACACTAGGACTAAGACAGATCACATCCTGCATGCAACTATTTCTTCATTGCCAGAAGAAAATTGTGTGACTGGCTCAGCCTAAACTTTATAATGTATAGTCAGAAGTTAGGTGAAAGGAATCCCATTCAGCAGTATTTTCTGGTATAGCTAGTTGTTGTTTTTGTTTGTTTGTTTTTTGAAAGATCTGTTGTTAATAAACCAGCCTATGTAGTTTGACACTAAAAGCGTTACTTTATTTTGGGGAGAAATGAAATGGTAGATGATTAAGAAAACATGGCATCATACATTTTATTTAAAAATAATCTAGCTGAAAAAGAGAACTGTGTTGATCTTCTGACAACACTAGTTTTTACATACCAAATGTTACAGATTGTTCTTTTATATCAAGTACTAGAAAATATACAGTGTTGATGCATTTTAAAAATGGCTTGCCAAGTGTATGGCATCGATATAAAACTGTCTTCTTTCAACAAGCTCCTCATGAAAACAGGGCTTGCGTTCTATTTTAATCTTGGTCTGTTAGTAAATTGGCAATCTCAAGTAGTAATTAAAGAAGCAAATATGTTTACGGGTGTCATGGAAGGAAATCTTCCAAGCCTTGAAAGTCTCCAGGGATGGGGCATCCCCCACCTCTCTGGGCAACCTGTTCTAGTGCCTCACCACTCTCCCGTAAAAGACTTCTTCCTCGTATCTAACCTAAATCTATCCTCTTTAAGCTTGAATCCATTTCCCATTGTTTTATCACCCCAGACCCTACTAAAGAGTCTGTCTGCTTCTTTCCTGTATTTTCCCTTTAGATACTGAAAATATGCTGGTGGGGGGGGAGGAAGAAAAAACAAAAAACCCACCCTGAGATGTATTTCATTTTCTTTTTATTTTATTATTGATTTTTTTTTATTGACCTATTTTGTCTTTCCTACTGGATCAAGTGAAACATATCAGTCTATTTTGTTCTTTCTTGTGCTTCTTTTTCTCCTCTTGACACAACTTCAGAAAACATGTCAGCTGAGCAGACAACTTACAGCTGACAAATTTTATTTATTTTTCAGGTTTCAATAGATAGATTTACCACTGCTCATGAGTAACTCTCGCTGATTTTTCTATATAATAATAAAAGAACAGGACACTACTCTTCATCATTTAATGACTATCAGATCTGAACTGAAAGATTTGCATTTATTTTTATTTTCAAGACATTGAGGGATGAGGATACAAAAGAATGCAGATGTTCCCATGTATTTAAACTTTGGTCAGTGATGCCCAAAGCAGCCATCATCAAAAAAACCAGTCAAATAACATTGAACCCTGGAGAAGTCGTTTTTACATTGTGTTGTTATTGATGTATTTACTGGGCATGTCAATCAGTATTTCAGCTCATCATTGATAGGCATTATCTAGCTCATTCCTAACTCCCTCAGGATCTGCAAATTTTGCATCTTTTTATGTTGTCTGAATGTCTTATGTATGTCCAATATTGTTTAAAAGATATAATCAACATAGGTTCTATGGAAATATCACCACTGTTTTAAAGAACTAAGTATTTAGAACTCAAATTTATCATTCACACCTTGTTTTCAAATTACTCTTCAGCTTGAATATGTTCTGTTCAGAAAGCTAATCTGAAGTTTAAATCATTACTTTGGAAACTATTGCACTTCCCAGAAAAATATCAGATTAATTGGGACAGAAAGGTTAAATAAAAGTGAATATAAGTGACTTGTCTTGTGATTCAAAAACTGTTCTGAGGCATAGGTTCTCATTAGGGTTTCACATTTCATTTTGTGTATTCATATTCCATGGCCACTGGCCCAGAAAGAGGCAAAGTGTCATGAGCCTCTGTTTTGGCTTGCTGGAAGCAAGGTGATGGAAATGCCTGCTCAAAAGCATACAATATGATTTTATAATAAAAATACTAAATAAAAGTAATAGTGAAAAACCCACAGAGCTAGTGAAGCATAAACTAAAATACAAATATCTTCTCTTCTTCTGAGTGACAGCTCTAATCAGTAAGCTAGAAAGTCACACACATGCATATTCTATCCCTTGCTTTCCTTCTGTCTTTGGTCCAACAATCTTTGATTATTACATGAAAAATGGAACAGTTTCAAAAGAACAAAGTGAGAATGCCCTTGATCTGTGTATGTGTTCATCAGGGGGAGAAAGACATTTTAACTGTACCTCATATAAGTATTCCACTGTTTACTAATAAAAATGTGAATAGAAAAGTATCTTTTAAACTAAAGTTTCATAAGGTTATAAAATATTATTTATGTATTTGAAAGAACAAAAAAATATGTGAATGCCTTGCTTTTTTGGGGGATAGATTCAGAAGTCCAAATCCCATGGCAGGAAAATACTTCTCCAGGAAGTACACCCAAGCCACAATAAAACAGAAAGTCATACCTGTGTCCACAGATCTTTACCTTCAGTGTGCCACCTTCTCATCATCAAGCATTCTCTGAGCACTTCTCATAGGTGATCATTAAAATCTAAATCTGGTTTCCTCTTTAAGGAACTAGTTACATTTAGGTGTTACAAACATTTTAATCTATATTTCAGTTACATTCAAAATGAGCCATGGGTCCACTTTTCCTCTGCTTCTAGCAGCCAAGAATTCTGGAATCTGATGAAGTGTAAAAACAGAATCTTAAACCCAAATATTTAATCTAGGTTTTAGGTTGGGTTTGTGTTAATTAGATTGCTGTTCTATGAAACGGCTTTCATTTCAGCATGTCCTTTTGAACTTTATCCAACATTTTTATTTAATAAGAGACATTAATAGATAACTAATCAGTTACCATTTTGGCATTGTTTCATCTGTTTTAGTGAAGGCATCAGTTTGGAATTCTCAATTCTCAAAGAATTCTCAAGACCATGTAAAACATCGAAAAAAATACTAAAAAAGCTGTTACACAATATTTTTTAAAATTGTCACATTACATACTATATTGTCTGTGGAATTAGACAGTAGATTGACATTCATCTAATAAGCATGCTGGATCACGAAGTTCCTAAATAGTCTCCATAGTTTTCATGCTATTAATTCATTGTTATTTAGATTTTTTTTTTTTTTTTTTTCCTGTTAAACAGTATGGCCTTGCAATCTGCAAACTGGCTTAAAAGGTTTGCATATAGTGTCAAATACTCATATTGTTTAATTCAGTTACTTCTGGTCAATGACAGTTGCACCCAGAATCTTTGCTATAGACATAATTGAAATGAAGTGACAGGATGCTAGCAACTGTTGTAAATGATACCTTCTGTCACTGCACCTGAGACAAAGTGTTATTGTCTATATCAGTGTATCAGAACTTGCAATTTACAAAAAATGAAGATTTTTTTTTTAGTTGTGAACTCACTGAGAAAAAAAATAAGAATGTTGGTCTTTTTCTTTCTTTTTGTAATTCATATTTCTACATTTTTTTTCTATTTAAAATTATATATTTTTTTCTGTATGTAATGTGCTTTTTACATATCTTCAGTAGATCTATAAAGTAGAAACATGAAGTTTGAAACAAGATTTTTCTGAATTGAAGGTTATCTCAGTGTACTTACTCAAGTAACAGAAGTGCTGTTCAGGCATGCTAGGACATAAATCTAATCACATATTGTAGAGATTTATTTAAACAGTAGAGATGGAGGTTGAATGCCAGCGATCCTTCCCTATGTCTTTTTGAAATGCCTACCCACTCTTTGGCATACTTTGTCTGCAATTAGATGCAAGTTATTATGAAAAGCATTAACTGCCTTTGGATACATAAAGCAATACTCCATAAATCTTTGAAAGTGGCCTTTTATATTAACTGTTCTTTATGTGATCTCCTGAGTCAATAATAGTTGTTTTTTTTTTTCCTCAACACATAAGTAGTAGATCTATAATTCTGTCGTTTCCTGTACTGAAGGAGCTCCTTCTATCAGTTAAATCTAGTTAGTACTTTCCTGATTAGTGTAAATGTTTGTAATCAAAAGTTAGTCTTCTTTCATGATATTGAAGGCATTGCATTGCTGCCAATTAAAGTGAACAAACTTTTAAAAGGTCAGAGACACCAGAGCCAATAAAAAAAGAATAAACACAGGTCTGTTTCTTCCAGAGGAGATGCAGATTGCAAAGAGAAAAGACATAGGATCAGCAAAGAAAAGCCCAGAAGAAGTAATACAGGTGAAAGAAATCCTGAGAGTTCCCGTACCTAATAAATAGTATAGAATAGAACAGAATATTTCAGTTGGAAGGGACTTACAAAGATAATCAATTCCTACTGCTTGACCACTTAAGAGCTAACCAAAAGTAGAAGCATACTATTGAGGGCATTGTCAGAATGCCTCTTGAATACTGAGGGTCATGGTGTATCTTCCACATCACTAGGAAGCCTATTCCAGTGTTTGACCATCCTCAAAATAAATAATTTTTTCTTAAAATTTCATCTGAAACCTCGCCTGGCACAGCTTTGCGCTGCTCCTGTGCATGCTGTCATCAGTTACTAAGGAGAAGCTACTGGTACCTCCCTATCTATTTCTCTTCCTCAGAAAGTTGTAGCAAACATTGAGGTAGCCTCTCCGTCACCTTTTCTCTAGACTAGATAATGCAAGTATCCTCCACCTCTTTTTAAGGACAAGCCTTCCAGGCCTTTTACTACCTTTGCAGTCTTCTACTCAATGCTTTCAAATATCTGACATTTATTTATCTTATAAAAAAATTAAAAATTATATACAAGATAATTTTTTTTTTTTTAATTTATATTGTGGAAACCAGATCTCTAAACAGCATTCAAAGTAGGGCCACGTCAACACTAAATATAGTGGGAGATTGACCTATTTTTACTGTCTGGCTATGATGTGTTTAATGCATCCCAAAACATACAGTTTGCCCTAATTGCCTTGAAGTTTAGCTACCATCTACCAGAGCATACCTCACATTTATACTTGCTCTTGTCCTTCATCTCAGGTTGTAATGCTAGGCACATCCTACAGCCTGAGAGCTGGGTGGTCACATAACTTGCATGGAGCTCTGTATGGGTGACTGAGGAACAGAAGCAGAGCATGTGTCTTTCTGCCTAGTTGTTATCAGGTCTGTGCCTTCTCACCATCACACACAGAATGTTGTATAACATGATGCATGGACTAGGGAGGTTGACTGGCACTCTCTAGAGGCGGGTTGTGGCTTCCAGCTTTTTGAACTCAGATGGCTGTGCCTAACTCTCACCTGTCACTCATGAGACTGGTCACTGCTTACCATGCCTCCACACACAGACAGAAACCCCCTCAGACCTCTGAGGCATCACAAACATGACAAGCAGAATCAGTACAGCAAAATAAACCTGCTGCTCTCACTGTAGATCTATGTGATCTGTGGAAGATTTGGAGTGTTTTTCCTGACATTAATCATCTGTGGACAAGAAAGAATGCCCAAAATGTCATAAAGGTCACTTTGCAAAAGCAAATTTACAAGTGTAAAGGAAAAGAAGGATGTTTCTCTATTGTCATATGAGGATTTTTTTTGCTCAAGGCACTGACAGGCCTCACCTTAGCGGGACTCTTTTTTCTTTCCCAAGTGTTTTTTAATTGTTATTGTTACATTGCAATGCTGGAAATCCTATAGAAGATGAAGAACAGTTTTTGCAGGTTCATTTTTCATTATATCACTTTTTTGCCAAACTGCAGGATATTTTGAAGCCTTGCAGGGTTACTTTCCATTAACGGGGAAATAGCTTTCAGAGATGTGAAATATTTTAAGTTAATGTTTTATACCATAATTCACTAAATAAGATGATAAAAAAAACAAATTAAATAGTTTCTTTTTCATAAACCTTTTAATGCTTCTCAAGAAGTGCTTCTGTACTGGCAGCTGAATCCAATTAGTAAGGATCACACAGATTCTAATAATGTTCTCACTGGTAACAAAAACTTCCCTGAAAATTAATTTATTTTATTAAAATACTCTGTAATGGTACCCAATGCTTATTCCTCCAGAGTGACTTCTTCAAAAGGCAACTGACTTCTAGAGTACACTTCCTAAATACCAGTCCTTATGCATAATAAGGCATTTGCAAAGTCTATCTGTGGGGCCACATATTCAGGCCTACATGTTACTAGTGTGATTGTTGTATGCTAACAGTTATGTCAAAAGCCTGGAGCAGACGGCTAGTTCTTATGAAGGCAGAGACAAAAACAAAATAGAACTTTAGGGTTGAGATTAAGGTTATTCACTAAGCCACAAGAGGGAAAAATAAAAAAATAGTAATAATAAGCATAAATATTACATACACATTCCTAGGTATACACTCACATCACAACTGCTTGTTATCTACTAATACTCTGCTAAAAATACAACACTTACCAACTGACGCCTAGCTGGTCCCTGAAAGGGAAGCTATTCCCCTTCACACATAGCTAGCTAGCCAGCCCCCAGCACTTTTATAGCCTCCTACATGGCACCTTGTAGCATTGAATAGCCCCTGGCCTAAATTTGGCATCTGCTTTAGTTCCGCCCCACCCCTTGCCTGTCACAAAGTCAGCAGCTCTCCCCACCCCCTGTAGTGTAGCTTGGTTTAGGTGTGTTCTTCATGATCAGTAGCAGCTCAAAGCGTTAGTGTTTTAGCTGAAACCAAGGCAGATTATAAACACTTGATTTTTCTGCTTTGTTTAATCTGATCCGTCTAATCTCTTGCCCTAATTCTTCTTAGGTTTTATTTATTTGTTACTTTTTTTTTTTCTTTTTGTTCTAGCAGTTCACTATCTTGAAGGAAGCTTGACTGGAGATGAAAGTTCTGAAAGAACTTGTATCTTGTTGCTAAGAATTTATACTTTTTTTGGTGGCACTTTTTTGGGGGGGGAAGTTGCTACCTTTAGCATCTTGCTTAAAGCTGCAACTTATTTAATGATGTCAGGAAAGAGAATAAACCTTTTGAAAAGATAAAGTAAAAGCAGCATTTTATAGTTCTCCCACATTTCAAAGAGATGAGGGCATTACAAAGAAAAAAAGTTGACTTATTTTGTACACTTATTAAGAAAGTTCCTTATCCTTTAACTGCTTTCTTGTTCATAATGTTTATCTTCACTTCACTTGAACAAAGTGTTTGAGAATAAAAGCACAACAATTGGGAATCTTTATTATTTAATAATAGATATTACTATGGGAGATATTTTCACAAAGATAATACTTAAATTTCCTGCTGAACGTTCAGTGTTGCAGTGTATGAATATGTTTCTATTAGTAATCAGTGATGTAGGCTTCTCTGTACTGTAAATAATATTAATGGCTGTAGTGACACACCAACTAGTCGTAGAATGGACTAATCAGGAAATATTTTCAGCTTACCATCTGCTTAACTATTTGCTCACTGTAATTACAATGACCATTTCTGTTTTTTGTTTGTTTGTTTGTTTTAAATAAACTATTGCAAAGAGTTCCAGAGTTTAATGACACTGTCTCTCTCTTTCTCAGTCTTTAAACAGTTAAAGTAATCCAAAAGCTATCTAAAAAGTCATATCACCCAAGTTTATTGCAATCATTATTACTTCTTATCTGTTATGGTGGAAATGAAGTGTACCCTCCTCATACGTGATAATGTCTTGTTCTAATCAGATGTGATTTTTAGCCCACATAAGATTGTGAGGTTATGCAGAGAGGAAATTAGTAGAGCTGAAGCCTAGATGGATCTTAATTTGGCTACAGCAGTAAAAGGCAGTTAACAATATTTTTATAGCTCTACAAACAAACAAACAAAAGACTGAGAATCTCCATCCTTTATTGGATATAGGGGGAAGCAGTGGCAAGGGATGAGGAAGATACTGAGGTACTTAATGTCTTTGCCTCAGTCTTTTTTAGTAAGACTATTTATTCTCAGTGTGGACAGTCATGTAAGCTGGAAGACAGCATAGTTTAGTTTCGTAGTAAGGGGGGATGTTATAGCCGCCTTGTTAGGGAGAAGAGAGCACTACCCAAAAGTTCACTGATTTTTGCAGAAAGGTGAAATACTGTGAAACATCACAGTATAATACTTTTCTGTAGGGCATAGGAAGTTAAATAGTTTTGTTTAATTGTGTAGTACTGGGTACTATCTAAAACAAGGAGTTATGATGACAGAATGGAGTATTCTGTGCGTCCCCATTTGGGAAAGTGCTGTATGAATGGTCCTGATGTGAATGAGTGAAAGAACTTTGAATCAGTACTTTGCTACCCTTGCTATAGTGGTAATCCTCAAAAGTAATGGAGCTGCTGTCCCCTCTCAGTTTAAAAAGTTTGAAAGAAGTGCTGTAAGGTTGGTTTTGTTTTGTTTTGTTTGTTTTAGTAGTAGTCATTATGGTGGCTTAAGAGTTGAAATCTCCTGCCTTGACTGGAAATGATCAGTTTTCCTCCATGGCACCAGTTCCTCTCTCCTTTATCTTTCCTTATGTATTTTGCTATAGATATTTTTCAGGGACCAGTAGAGGCCTTATCCAGAATTTGCTTATTTCTACCTTTCCCAGAGATTCACATACCAAGATTTTCCAACCCTCTGACAGCCTCTCCTCAGAGCTTTGGAAAAAAAGGGATAAAATACTTTTCTTTTTATATTTGAGACAGCTGCTGCTTCCTGAAACAGATGAACAAGAGAGGATGCAGGAAAGTTTTGTTACATTAAATTAGTGAATAGCTGCTGTTGCAAACAGTAGTAAAGCTGTCAACTGAAAAGAGAGAATTCATCAGAGAAAAAGAGCACCTGATTCCTTGTTGAGCTGGAAGACTCCAAAAGCTGCTGCTACTTGTATGTCTTTCACTAAAGATGCAGCTTCTGAAGTGAGTGCTGCAAAAATAGCTTCAAATGAATAAGAAAGCAAGCAAGTACTGACTCATGAGAAAAAAAAAAAAAAAAGAAGATTTGAAGTGACTACACAGAACCAATCAGGGTACATTTCCAATGAAAGAGCAGGTAAGACAATACACTATGGGAATACATAGATAAGAAATGAGAAAGAAGATAAAGTTAAATGAATTTGGTTGAAAATAAAGTAGAATCAGAGAAGAAAAACCTAACATCAAAGGAAATACAAAGTAATTAACAAAAGAAAAATCTATACAAATTTCTAAAATCAGGATGAGAAGATAAACTCCATATATTACAAATATTTTTAAAAATCTTAAATGATCAATCAGAAGTAATCAGTGAACCACAACAGACTAAATTCTCAGCCAATAATTTTTTTCTTTTGCCATATTGTCACAGTTAGGCATGGTTTCTGTGACAAGGGGGCAAAGGCATACATGGATCCATGTCTTGTGGGGTGGGAAGGAAAGGAAAAAGGCAAGGAGACAGGCCTGGATGAGGAAACCAGGAAAAAAACAACAACTCAGTTTACTAAATACAGTGGCAGAATGTGAGATATATACAATATAATAGAACGTGATTGGAATTGAAGCTATTAAATTAATTAAAATATAAAAGAGAGAGAGTTTCTGAAACTGAAGTCCTTGCTCTAATGCTGTAAGCGAAGCGGCCAGGGAGCAAAAACAGCAAAAAAAGGCCATCTCGTGACTCCCAGCCTGTTTTATCTTTCCCTCCAAAAGGAAAACAGAAATGGAAAAATGAACTGGGAGTTGTAGTTCATTCTTGTCTTCTGAGGCCAAGTGACCGAACTCATGAAGAATATGGATAATCTACAGAACTGCAGCATTAACTTTTTCACTCCCAGTGCACTGCATGATGCTATGGTGTGGAATACTGATGAAAAACCATGAAACCATGACACATATGTACTTAATATCTAGATAGAATTTAACTTTCTTTCATTATATTAAATTTTCAGCTGAAAATCCCTTTGTTTTCACAATTTGGCTTGCTGTAGTCTTTCTTTTGGTTACAATGCAGGCATGGTTAAATTAGAATATTTGAAAATATTTTCCCATATAAGATCCCAGTGCCTAACACTAGTCTGAGAATATTGTGAGGAGTGGATTCTAGGTTATTAGTTTCATTTCTGTCTGATATGGAAAAATTACAATAACATTCTCTTGTTATTTGATACGTCAATTTCCTGTGAAATGAAGATGTTCCTCTTGCATGTATCCATCCATTCAGTTATCCACTGAATAAAATCTGAATTATGTAAACCCGAATAACATAAAAATGAATTTCAATTAGCCATTGGTAAATGCAGCATTCCGTTTATTATTGTGTTACTTTTGCTATAAGAATATACTAATTAAATCAGTATTGTAATACATAAAATTCCACAAATCTTATAAAGTAATATGCATTAGTTTTCAGTATATATGAGTTTCAATAATGACATGACTGAGAATGCGGTGCATCTGTTTCCTAATCTTAATTTATTGATGAGATGAACTTTCAAAAATGAAGTTTCCCTTCACAACTATTATTCTTTAATTTGAGGGCATGCATGCAAATCTAAGTTTGCAAACTAGAAAATTGGTTATACCAGTGAAATAAAATATGCATGATTGATGTATCTAATATGCTTCCATTGTATTATACTACATTCTAGTTACTTTTCATTTCCATCATTAATTAAAATTAAGACAAGAAAACAGCCAGTGAAGCAGCAATAAAGCACAGTAGCATCTTGAATAGCTAACTACCGAGACAATGAACAGTACTGAACTGTATTGTTTAGACAGATAAAAGTTTACTTCAGAACATCCAAAGTTTTTCCTCATGTTTTCAAACAGAGGTTTGAGGAAAGACAATGTCTTAATGACATTT